AGAGTTAAGCTATATTCCAATATTTCAATCAACGATTGCTCATGTTTTGACAGTAAAATAAGTATGTAAAAACATACCTATCAGAAACGGATCATGGGCCAGATGCCCTCCCAGGTGGGAAATGAACAACGGAGGCATCGCTCAAATGGTAAGTTGGCGTCAAACGGGCGCTAGCTCCCTATTTTGTGCTCTTGAACGAGAACTTGGTGCACAGCTAATGAGAATGCAGCTAAATCACTTCTTCGTCTGTATTTTAACCTTTTCAAAGCCCATTTCAACAAATCCACAAATACCGAATGGAATTTGGGTCAAACTTTAACACTCTTCATCCTTTAGGATGTCATCATTAGTCTGATCATTAACTCCTTCCTTAATAGTGTTTAGGGCTAAAGACTTACTTTTCTTAGCTAGGGAGGCTAAGTTCATATGTTTGGAGAGATGTTACTAGTTCTTGAATCTTAATAGCATCTAGGTCATTGCTTTTTTTCAATAGCAGTAATCTTATGTCTAAATTTCTCAAGTAATGATCTCATAACCTTTCTTACTATCTTAGCCTCGGGGATTCGCTCATCTAGGTTGAAACTGGGATTTACTATGCAATTCAACTTAGCATAGAATCATCAAAAGATCCATCATCATTCATTCTAATCACTTCAAACTTAGTGGTCAACAAATGCAGTTCAGAGTTTTTAACTGTCTTAGTTCCCTCATGTGTGGTTTCTACAATATTTCAAGCATCTTTAGCAATCTTACATATTGATACACATTTACCTGTTCGGGGGTAATAGCCATAAAATGGTATGGACTCCTCTACTATTCCAGTTACACTCTACTAATTTGTCCTTTGTTCAAGTAGAGATATCAGTTGGTATAATAATACCAACAACGGTGATAGGTAGCCCAACCCTTTTCTACACTAAACCAAACCCGCTCATCCATAGACTTCAAGAAGGCTCTTATTCTAACATTTTAGTAAGCATAATTACTACTATTAAAATAAAGGGGAGTGAAAAATGATTGACTTATCTAGACAAAATTAGGTCACGGATCATAATTAAGCTCTCATACCAATTGAAATAATCGAAATTTAGACCCAACTACACTAGATGTGTATAATGGGAAATCAATAAAAATAACACATTACTTATTTATTATTTCTAGATTATTAAGTTTAATGTCCAATGAAATCATAATAAACAATCAAGCAATATTGATCAAAAGCAATAAAGTAAAGAACACCAAATTTGGTAATGAATGAAAACCCCTTAAAGAACTCTTCATAGGATCTAAAAATTCAGAGCAAACCTTGCCAAAAAGATTTATTAGAAAAGATAACTTACAGATGGTCCAGATACAACTAAATTTAGTAGACTCTGAGCATCTACCTATAAATCACCGAAGAACATCTTAGATTGTGTACCTGCACTTTCTAGAACTCTAAACTTCTTTTCTCTTCCCATGGATCACCAAGAACGAAGCTCATTTTGGAATAACTGGAACTCAACTTTGTCTCTTCCCAACGTCAATACTGAAAGCTTATTAGAGAAGGTAAAGATCTTTAGTATTTGATTTTTTGATTTTTTGTATTTGACCTTTTGGTTGAAGCAAGAGAATTATGGAATCAATGTTTGATCTTCAATAAGAATTTTTTTTTTTTTACCGAAATTAAGACTCAACCAATAATACAATATGTTTGAGAATTTGGAATATGAAGCTTTGATCTTATAGTTGAATCGAGAGATTTTTGGATGTTTAATTTTTGATTTATATAATAGGTAATGTTTGAGGTTGAATAGAATTTCAAAATCTGTTCACAATTGTGAACTAGGTTTGCCTGAACAAGTACACCTCTCGAGCGAACTCCCTCACGGCTAGTAAGCTGTAAGTTCATCGCTCGAGCTATAGGGTCGCACCTAGCGAGCTACGACTGATAGGAATGTAAAATGCATATTTTTCCCTCCTTATTTTATGCGCTTGTATGTCTATTTTGTGCCAAAATGTACTCATTGCGTTCATATTTTGATTTAGGTGGCAATTCTATGGATACGGCGTAATTTGGAAGAAATAGGTGAAATGGACCAAAGTGAAAGGAAATGAAAGCTCAAGGACTAGTGTGCAAATACCTAAAAGTTGTGTCAAACCAAACAATGAATATTTGAGAGTCAATTGGTTGAAAAAGAAGTCAAAGGGATGAAATATCGTCAAAGTATGATCACAATTTCCAATCGAAAAGTTATATCCCAATTTTCAGTCTCATATTGAGACCCATTTTTGACATGTAAAAGAATCAACTTGGAATATTATATCTGAAGAAAAGTTGTAGGTCTTTGAGTTTTCCAAACCATCTTGAATCGCCTCAATCAGATATCTGGAGAAGAAGATATGACTAAAATACTGAAACCTATCTAGAGGAAGTTTCGTAAAACCATGCGGTCGTATGACTTTAATTCCATGCGGCCGCACAGACCACTTCCGAGAGTTTGAGGGCTGAGTTCACTTGTTCCATGCGGCCGTATGGTTCGTTTTCGACACGAAAATTTTGATTTCCGAATTTAAGTCACCTACCTATGGAAACAACTATAAGTACATATTTTAAAACCCCA